ATATATATATATATAGGATACAAACCAGCAAATACGAACCTGTGCGGATATATAGTAGTTTATTTGCATACATAATATCCACATTTTATATTCTGAGGTTTGCTTTTAGCATAACAAAAACTGGTTAGATTCCTTTTAGCCTTAAAATCTGTGAAGTTGCATCAAAGATTAAAAAGCGCTTTATGTTAGTCAAAGTATAATTCCCACAAGGATTAGACCACAAAGACGACATACGTTGTCGATGACGATCGGTTGACTCGACAGAGCATATTTTGACATTGTGGCGGTTTGATCCAACACACTCCCAAGTTACCACTCAACACTTGTGTTCACGTGTTAATAAACACTCTACCAAGTAAAGCTCTGTATGTGGTACCGCCTACTTAGAGGTTGCTAAGGCGATGGTCTGATTGGATTTACACATTGGCTTAAGGATAACTTTATATCAATGTAAACACAGAAGTCGCGAAGTGCCAAGAACTATTCAAATTACTCTGATGACTTGTCGGACATCTACGGGTTGTTTACTGATATGAACAATAATATGACCCGGAATAAGCACTGCTTATTCAGCGATACTTTTTGTCATCACTAGATCTGAGGCATTTTTTTCTTCATACTTTATAGAAATAGTTTTCTTCCGGCTCCGCTCTCTATAGAATTCACCCAGTATGCTATTGTTTTAAACTATATTGTATTTTCAACAGATGTATTGAAATATGCCTCAAAGCGAATTAAATACAAAGTATTTGAGACAGGAAAACTCACTTTATGTTTTATTATAACGGAACAATTCCGGTACCGTAATCGAACTAGCTTGCCTTTTAGGTCCGGCACCGCTATCAGAGAGGACAATGTGGGCCCTAATATCTGGGGGTTGGGGCATTTTTAGACTGCGTATTGTATGTAAAAAACCCCTCTACCTATGCCCCATATCCGGAATCAAGGCCTCACTGACTAATCTTACCCACACAGCAGTGCAGCACATCCAACTCAGACACAGTGACAGAAGACAACGACTCACAGCCACCAAGGTGTTCTCCTTCCTAATAAACTAAATACACCCTATTTTTTATTTCGGGTATTTCATATTTGATTAAGTGGCAGAAGTAGCCCACGAGCAGATAGATAACTCATCTCGTTCATCAGGTAATAACTTAAGTGGAGTATGTGCACGGGTACTTAACGTGAATGTTACCTCCAGTCGCTAGGACGCAACATTTTCATATAATGCCATTCTAGTTCAGTACCGGTTAAGTTTGCTGAGTAGTTGATCTGAATTCCAAACACGCCGAACATCTAACTAGTCAACAGCCATACGGCGCACGTCCGTATATGTTGTTTGATACCTCTGTATATATACACACACACACAAACACACAAACACACACTCACACACACACACAAACACACACACACACACACACACAAACACACACTCACACACACACACAACACACACACACACACACACACATATATATATATATATATATATATATACAGTCATACATTTATACATACATACATACATGCATACATACATAAATACTTGCATGCATATTGATACCTATACATGTACACATACACACACACATACACACACACACTATATACATGTACTATACATGTACACACACACACCCATACACATATATATATATATTATATTATATATGTATATTTCTTTATATATTTATGTGTATTTATATATATATACATATAAATATATATAAGCATATGTTTCAATATATACATATATATATGTGTGTGTGTGTATATACATGTCCATTTATATATATATATATATACATATTTATATTTATGTATTAATTATATATATATGTATAAATGTAATATATATATATATATATATATATATATATATATAATATAAATATATATATAAGTATGTATATATAGGAATATATAACTTTACACGTGCATATATATATATATATATATATATATATATATATATATATAATATATATATATATATAAGTATGTATATATATGAATATATAACTTTATACGTGCATATATATATATACATATATATATATATCGATATTGATATTGATATACATTCATGTATGTAAATTCTGTTAAAACATAAAGTCACGCGCACGACCACAAACACACACACGCATAATACAATATCACAAAAATAGAACCCACTCGTGTATTTATACATATAAATCAATCCACACCCGCACACACACAAACATACCCGCATATTCACTCAAGAATAGCACACACACACACGCAAGCACACACTTATATATTTCACTCTATATATCTATATGGCTACGTGTATATAATCGGAAATATACACGTAAATTTCTGAATATACACATGTTTTTTTTAATACTTATATATACGCACACGCACACACGCACCTATATATATATATATATATATATATATATATGTATATATATATATGTATGTATATGTATATATATATATATATATATTTATATATATACATACATACATACATACATACGTATATATACATACATATATATATATATATATATATATATTTACGATTTTATGGATGTATGTGTATGTGTAAATATGTGTATGTATAAATGTATTCATATCTAATGCACGATCTCACTTTGTTTCTAGGTTTTATTGTTTTCGCGTCTAATTCATATCATACTTTATGTGACAACCTTTCGTCTTTCTATCTCTACAAGCAAACAATCTTCAATATAATTTAGTCCACATCAAGCTTACATTACTGACACTCCTTCATATCCATACAGTCACACCACCGCAAACAAAATGTTCTCAGTCGTTTCTCGCTCAAGCTCACGCGTTGCCCAAGTGGTGTCTCGCCGTTCTTTCTTCGGCTCGTCTAAAGACCCTGTCAAGGACGCATTCGCCTCAGAGCTTAAGAAGATCAAGGTGTGTACTGCTGCACCTGGATGTGTACTCGAAACTGATATATATATATATATATATATATATATAAATATAGATATTTATATTTATATATAATAATAATAGTAATATATTGTATATATTATGTATGTATATACTTAGATACATACACACCTTCATGCATGCATGTATGCACGCATATATATATATAGGTATGTATGTATGTATGTATGTACATCATACATCCAACAAACATACATACACATGCATACATACATACATGATACATGCAGACATATATATATATATTATGTATATATATACGTATGTATGCATGTATATATATATGTATATGTATACATATATGCATATATATATATGTCAATGTATATGTCCAAATCCAATATATATGTCAATGTATATGTCCAAATCCATATACGTATACATACACATACATGTACACGTGTATGTGGTTGTGCATGTATATATACATATAATGACTTATACTCGAACTTGTGTTCGTATAATTGCATAAAATGTAAAATTTGGACATTACGTGCGTCTGTGTATGTGTCTATATATATTCATGTCTATGTGATATGTGGGTAAAGAGCGTGTTTTTGTTTGTTGCTCCTGCTGTGTACAGTTCTCATGATGCGTGATAGTATTGCTTCCTGGAGATAATATTTTCTACTACCGGGTGTACACAATAATATTTAGGGTTTGCAGGATTTAACACAGTAGGCTTATGAGTTGTAAGCTACAGAAAGTCGATATGATTGGTGTAGAGATGTACAGCACTTTGTTCTAGAAATGAATACCGCGATGTATCTGGACAAGAAATGTACCGAACTTTATGAAACTGTGGGCTGGTAGCTGCATTAGCGCACCTGCTATAACACGACGGGTGCAATCGCTAGTCCCCATCAGAAGGTGGGAGTGTTGGTAGTATACATTAAGTTTGGGATATACGACACAGATAGTTAAATACCAACAACCCATTCTACAGAAGTTTGCTCAGGGGAGTGTTAGCAGTATTGGAAGGATTCCAGAATATACGACACGTATTTAAATACCAACAACAAATACTACCTAGCTGTTCTCATGGGAGTGTTATTAGTATAGGAAGGATTCCAGAATATACGACACATAGTTAAATACCAACAACCTACCGAGCTGTGTTTACCCCCTGCGGGCATTTTTGTTCATAATATTCAGCAAAGCTATTTGTACATGGGAGGGGTGTTTGTATTTATATAACTGCATGAGTGCCTGTGTACGTGTATGGAGGTGTACATGCTTGTACAAAGGCATGCAAGTGTAGATAGGCTTGCTACGTTGTATCTCTATTACTACAGACGACCCATGCCCCACTGTGTATGTGTGCACGAGGGTCTATGTGCTGGCTGTTCGCAGTCGCGGATCTTATCTGGTGCGTGTGTGCGTATCTGCAATAGCTGGTACCACTCGGCTGTACAAGTTGTATCAATGTACACACCACACCTGTCTGTGCGTGCGAGGCAGTGCATAAACGCGGTCGCAAGGGGTTCGCAGCCAACCCAGACTCATCGCATATCACTGTGTGCGCATATGCGTATTGGTTGGTTAGTGTTCAGAGGTCGTACATGCTTATGCGGCTGTCAATATCTATTGCCTGTGTGTTCAGTTTATAGTGAGTACGCAGACGCATGGCCCACTAGAGGGTACCTACATACACATGTTCTCTATCGATGCAAGCCTGCTGACGCTGTGCTAAGATCGGCCTGGCGTATGGATACGTCCTTTGTTCACATACCATTCGTCGTTACTTACTGTATGGATATTAAAGTGTGCAGTTCAAATATCAAATGATACAAGTGTGTAGTGCTAAGTACTAAATGCACGTGTATATTTTTTCATATCTATAAACAGGCCCTGCAGAAGTCTGGCAAAATCGAGAAGACCGAGGATCACGCCCGCCTGAACCAGGCCATTGAATCCGTTAAGAAGATGGACGGACTCAAGGCTACCGGAGCCCAGATGTAAAACAATGTATTAAAATCTAGCGCATTCAGGAGGATGTGCATCTGCACACTCTGTAGTTGGGAATAAAGTATGGCACACTCCTAGGCTCATGGATTGTATATGTAACAGTTGAAGTATTAACATCTAGCACATTCAGGAGGATATGTATCTACACCCACTGTAGTTGGGAAGTATGGCACACTCATAGGCTCATGGATTGTATATGTAACAGTTGGAGTATCAACATCTAGCACATTCAGGAGGATGTGTATCTACACACACTGTAATTAGTAGGTATGGTACACTCATAGGCTCATGGATTATGTTTTCAAGGGTTCATATACCGCATCCATCGAGGTATCGTGTCTGTAAGAACCAGACGCGCTAGCCTATGCACACTTAGTACATTACATTGGCATATCGGCTGATCCACACCTCTAGGCACCTTGTATCCTAACCTCGAACCGATTTCCGATAAAACGTTTATAAATCCAATATATATACGTTTACGTTCAACTTCTATTCCGTACCCCCATGACGTAGTGAGCTTCGCTTGTGTCTGTCCCAGTTGTTAGATGACGTGGCTACGGGATTTAAAGTAAACTGTTGGGAAAGACTTCAGTAGCAGAAGGAATTACATTCACGCACTCTGAGTCTGCCATTTGAACAAACTTATATCGCACATCCCAAAGCCCTCACAGTTTGATTTATATTTCGTGTTGCAGCCGCCACACACTTACGTGTATAGAGACGTCATATACTTTAGAGAGGTATCAATGTACAGTTATCATTGTATAGTTATCATTGAGTAATATTTTACAAGTAATATTCC